GCTCTTGGAAAGTATTGCCGTTGACTCGATGAAGTCCGAACACCAGCTAACGGTTACGCTGAAGAAGGGATGCGAGAACAGAATGAATAGGAATAGACACAACAACAGCAGTCGAGTGTGTTTGTAATTACGTGTGAGAAATGCGGTGAGTTCTTGTTGTATTGTCGCAATTTCGACGTGCTAAGAAATTGGGCTCGGGGCGAAAGAGAATAAATTAAGTACGGATGGAAGTTACGTCGCCGTATAAATTTGCCACGCGAGTTCTCGAAGCGCCATAAGCTTAAATTATTATTTACAAAGTGAAAACATCAATAAATCAGTACTAATCGTCGGCTGCCGTGCATTTACTCAGCCATTTCTGTAGTCGTAGTCGCGACAACAGGCTGATATGTTTACTGAAATAATTTTATTAATTTTCTCGAAGTCGATTAAAGATGCTGTATTATAAATACGTGTACATTATTCACTATCATAGAAACTATGACACCGCATTTGATTACTGTAATAATTTGACTGCGACTGGTACGCTGAAAAGAAGGAGGTCAGTTTCTGCTCTCTTGCGGTTCACCACACTTTGTTATAGTGATTCACTAATATTTTGCCTACTTCATGACTACTAGGCTCTCATCTCACGCGACGACGGCGCAAAACGGGAAAGTGAAAGAGAATGTTGATAATAAAAGACAAGCTGAAATAGGGGAGCTGCTATGAATTCGTTTGTTCTCAAGGCTACATATTAATTTCTTATCTGTTGCCTTGCTGCTACGAAAGTGGAAATAAAAGTTGCTGTCGATACAAAAAATGAAAAATGAGAAAAAATGAAAAAATGAAAAAAGAGAAAAATGAAAAGCGTCATAAATGGATAAGCAAATAAGATATATATGATATAGAGAGAGAGAGAAGAGAGAGAGAGAGAGAGAGAGAGAGAAAGAAAGAAGCAGAGAGAGAGGGAGGGGGGGGAGGAAGAGAGATAGGGAAAAAAGATAGCGTGAGAGCGTGCGAGCGAGAGAGAGAGCGTGCGAAATAGAAATATACAGATGTACAGACAGACAAACAAAATATAACCGACTCGCATGACAGGGCGAAATAGAATAGAGCGAACGAGCGCATGTATTTATTACCGCCTAGTGTTGTTCGTGCCTCGTATCTCTCATCGCGCAAACTCACGACTAGCTGATGCTCACTGCCATCGCCTCGAGTGATTCAGCACTGAGCAGCTGCGTCTATTAATTAGTGGCTAATCAAGGTCTTTGTTGTCATTAGGCGACTTCGTCAGCGCACACACGCGTCCCCCGTCTCCCGCCATTCCGATATATCGTCACGCGTCGGGCGCTATGTGAACGCGCTACCCCCTGTAGGCATATACAAGCATATACGCTTACATGTAATTCGTCATTGTATTCGGATTAAGGACGATGGGAGGCTGAGTGGGCGGATCCCAGCGCGCGGGGCGACAAAAGTGAGTTTTCCTTCGTGAAGTCGGAGAATTTGTTTAGTTGAATGGTCGTTGTGAATATTGCCTATTAGATACATAGATCTTTTAAGTATCGGTTGTGTGCGTCCTGCTAGTCAAGACGTTATACCGTGATAGCGCGCATGGATCAGCAGTATAACAGCAGCAACAACAACCGCAACAACAATAATAATAATAATAATAATAATAATGATAATAATAATAATAACATTAACATCAACATCATCATCAACAACAACAACAACAACAACAACAACAACAACAACAACAACAACAACAATAACTACCACCGCCACCACCACCACCACAACAACAACAACAAAGAATAATTACAACAAAAATAACAACAACAAAAACAAACACAATAACAACAACAACAGCGACAATAAACAATAACGCGTTAAAGCCGTGTTAGCTGGCAGCTAATAAGCCGTCCTCGGCGGCTGTTGATTTCGTTGTTGCGTCGTCTGCGTCGTCTGCAACGCTGTGTAGTCGAGGCAGACAAGAGCATTACTATACTATATGACATTACTAAATAGGATTATAGAGTCGGACACGCGATACGTTTGGACAGTTTATATACTTACACACACCTACAAACACAATAGGACAAAATTCGTGTTTGTCTGCAATGGATGAGAGATGCGTGCTTCAGGCGCGTGTATGCGCGTGCACGTTTCCATGCGTGCGCGCGTGTATGCATGCGCGTGTGTGCACGTATTAGTGTGCGTATTACGTGTGAGCGTGGGCCTGACTGATTATTTCTTTGTTTAATTATTCATATATAAAAAATATATCGTAGGCGTCATTTTACAGAGCTAATAGATTGCACAAATAGAATTATCTAATAATAATTAAAAACTTCAGGGAGATCAAGCTTCTCATTACTACATTTCCAAGATACATCTACGATATTACATTTCGTTAAACAGACGTACCGCACACGCACAAGAAATAAATTATGTGGTAGCTTTTCCACATTTCACACAATAATATAATATCTTACAGAGAAAGACTATTCGCCATTATCCTCATTGCCCGGCTAGACGAAGGTCAAACAAATAACTTGACGTTGTTAATTTAGCAGTAAATTTAAATGCAAATGACCAATTACTGAATAATAAGCTGGAAATTGGCTTCAACACATTCCACGTGTTTAAAATTCATGATGGATGCTCGTTACCTAGATGTGATTAAGAATGTCATTACGTCGGGAGACGCTGCCGGGTCTACAGTAATCAGGAGGGCGAGATACCCGCCAAATTCTGCAAGATTTGTTATCTATTTCGTCCATAAAAATGCCGCTCGCTGGCTGGTAGATGCGAGGATTCAATTTCGCGAATAAAACAGGTTTGCACACATACCGCTTCATGCGCAAGATCACAAACGAATGGCAAGACGCTGCAATATTGCGCGCGAGCGTATATATATATTACGTCAAAATATCTCAACTTCTTGGCCATTAAGACACTTGTATATATCTTTTAGAGACAGCATTGGTTGCCAACTGAATACAGGTCTGATAAGATTGTCAGTAGCATAACAAATATTAGCATTTCCACAAGCGTTCGAGCCTGCTCATAGTTGATACGTACAGTCCGAGATGACAGGAGGGAGCGAATCATGTATGACACTTTTTGCAGTCTGGTCGGCAGCGCCATCTACCGAGGCATGCTTGAACAATCGTCCCATCAAATCTTGAACCTTAGCCAAGAAATCCTTCCGTTCCTTGGAATCCTTTGTAAAGCCATAGAAATATATAAAAATATAATGGAAATCTATCCTGACTTTAATGTTAGTAGAACGACTGAAAGTTTATATATGTGCACAAGACATTTATGGCAATTCATACCCTAAAGACTTTACAGAACACAAGCAAAAATTAAAGAAACGATTAAATTATAATCTTAATTTAGTCTAACTACTAATGAAAGTGTCAATGACACTATAGCTCACCTTGGGTGTTATTTTTATATACAATAATAAATTATTTCATTCTATTAAAATAATAAATATTCATTAATTAATTACGGTGCCGGTTGGGCTGACGTGGATCGCTGTTGTTGCTGCGGATTCAGACTGCATGACTTTGACAACAACACGAAGCTAGATGGACTGGAGATTCTAGCAGCGCTGACACACGCCATCCCATGGGAAGAGCAGGATGAGAAGGATGCGAGCGGACTGCGGAAGGATCCGGCAAAGATCAAGGAGCTACAGGATGATCGGCTACGATCCTACGTCGGTGAGACTTAAGCTAATTTATACGTTTACTGACGAGTGTTCCAATGACATGACTGTTCAGTAACATGACTGTTCACTAACATGGTTGTTCACTGACATTACTGTTCACTGACATGGTTGTTCACTAACATAACTGTTCATTGACATGGTTGATCACTGAAATGACTGTTCAGTAACATAAATGTTCACTGACATGACTGTTCACTAACATGGTTGTTCATTGGCATGATTGTTCACTGACATGGTTGTTCACTGACATGACTGTTCACGAACATGATCATTCACTGACATGACTTCAATGACATGAGTAGTCACTGGATTGACTGTTCACTTGCATGACTTTTAAATGGAATGGCTATTCACATGAATGACAGTTCAATGGAATGGCTATTCATGTAAATGACTGTTCAATGGAATGACTATTCACGTAAATGACTGTTCAATTGAATGACTATTTACTGGATTGACTGTTCACTAGAATGATTGTTCGCTGGAATGACTGTGACATAATAATTTTGACTACCCCAACACCAGTTGGCCTATAGGTTTTTTGCGTACACACAACAGCTCATTGTCAACCAATAACAGTGTATTTGGGGGAGGAAGGTGTTACATACGACTCCTTTGTGAACCGCATGCTTGTTTACTGATAATATTTGCCTCCTCACATCACTCTGCAGACATTATAGATATCATCATGGATGAGGATGACACGGATGGTGACGGATACCTTACCTATTATGAGTTTATGGTATCAAGAAGGAAGGGGCGCGCAACTCCCATAATACCTTCAACGATATCATAAGATGTATGATGGTAGTAGGAATATGGTGATGGGATGATGGTGGCGGCGGCGGTGGTGGTGCTGCTGCTGCTGTTGGTGGTGGTGGTGGTGGTGCAGCTGTTGCTGCTGCTGCTGGTGGTGGCGGCGGCTGTGGTGCTGCTGCTGCTGCTGGTGGTGGCGGTGATGCAGCTGTTGGTGCTACTGCTGCTGGTGGTGGCGGGGCTGCAGCTGTTGGTGCTGCTGCTGCTGGTGGTGGTGGTGGTGGTGGCGGGGCTGCAGCTGTTGGTGCTGCTGCTGCTGGTGGTGGCAGTAGTGGCAGTGGTGGCGGTGGTGTGTGATGAGAGCACACAGACATACAGAAGAAAATGAACACAAGTTGCGCAACCAAGTGTGCCGTTCACGCAAGAGTCACGCGCTGCATGAGTGGCATTATATTCGCGCGCCTGTCACCAGCTCCCTACCTTCACTCTCTGTGTGTGTGTCTCTCTCTCTCACTCTCTCGATTTCTCTCTCTCTCTCTCCCTTCCTCTCTTTCTCTCTCCCCTTTATTTCCTCTTTCTTTTTTCTCTCTCCCTCTCTCTCTCGCTCTCTCTCGCTCTCTCCTTCTCTCTTCCTCTCTCCCCCTCTCCCCCCTTCTCTCTCGCTCCGCTGCTTCCCCTGTAGAAGCTCCTTGAGACCAGTGCTGTGACGGTACCCTCGTGCCCCGGCATCAGACGCGTGAGGAGCCACCCCAACAATGCTAGCACGATGGCTACGAGGCTCCGAGTACGCCGGAGACAAACGCGTAATTGCCGCTGTGACGGCGACGACGACGGGCGAAATGAGCATGTATTGTGTAAGGGGGCAGGACGTGGAGAGAGCGCTGGTGAACCACGGGGGCCAGCCCAGCCAGCTGTGCACGTATTCTCACTACACTCCGCTTTGTTCCATCTCTCAGAGCGAGCGCCTCCCCTCGGTTATGTTTCTCTCCGGTCGCACACGGGCGCGGATACAAAGACAATGCTCGCCAAGGCTCAGACGCCGGCTCTTGGAAAGTATTGCGTTGACTCGAGTGAGTCGAACACGAGCTAACGTTACGCTGAAGATGCGAGAAAGAAATTGAATGGGAATGATACAACAGCAGTCGAGTTGTAATTACGTGAGAAATGCGGTGTATTGTCGCATCGGAGTGCTTAAGAAATTGGTCTCGGGGCGAAAGAGATAAATTAGTACGATGGAAGTTAATTCGCCTATAAATTTGCACGCGAGTTCTGAAGCGCCGATGAGCTTAAATTATTATTAACAAAGTGAAAACACAATAATCAGTATAATCGTCGGCTGCGTTCACTATTACTCAGCCATCTGTAGTCGTAGTCGCGACAACAGTGATATGTTTATGAAATAATTTTATTAATTTTCTCGAAGTCGTATTTAAGATGCTTATTTATAAATACGTGTACATTATTTCACTATCATAGAAATATGACACCGCATTTGATACTGTAATAATTTGATGCGACTGTACGCTGACAAAGAAGGAAGTCAGGTTCCTGTCTCTTGCGGTTCACACACTTGTTATAGTGTTGACTAATATTTTCCTACTTCATGACTATACCCGGCTCTCATCTCACTCGACGACGGGGCAAAACGGAAAGTGAAAGAGAATGTGATAATAAAGAAAGCTCGAAATAGGGGAGTGCTATGAATTCGTTTTCTCAATGCTACATATAATTCTTATCTGTGCCTTGCTGCTACGAACGTGGAAATAAAAGTTGTGTCATGAAAAAAATGAAAAATGAAAAAATGAAAAAATGAAAAAAGAGAAAAATGAAAGCAAGATACATAAATGGATAAGCAAATAGATATATATATATAGAGAGAGAGAGAGAGAGAGAGAGAGAGAGAGAGAAAGAAAGAAACAGAGAGAGAGAGTAAGTTACTTTTATAAGCTCTTGTATATTTGTGTGTGTTCTATTCTAACAGCCTCTACGCTCACATTTGACGTTTCACTAACGAGGGAATAATTACTGAGTACGTGAAAGGGAGACCCGACATGAGCATACTACCTTACTGGTGTAACCGAGTGAACTACATCGCTTTAGGAATAAAAATATCCACCAAGAATTACGAAGAAGAATTAATTACCAACATTTAAAATGAATAGATGCATCCCTCGCCCATTTCATGTCAACAATGCTCGCTTTCTTAGTAGATTTCGGAGCTTATTCATCGCAATATTTGTGCGGTATTTTTAAGTAAACGTATTGCAATAGTCTCTTTGTTCGCATTCGTCGCACGTGTTACAACTTATATTGTCGCATGAGTCGCACGTGTTATATTGTCGCACGTATTGTCGCATGAGTCGTGCCGCCTGACGTTTCTCGTGATGTATCAATTGCAGAACTTATAGACAGAGTCTTTGAGGACGACGATTACGATAGAGATGGTTACCTATCATACATCGAATACGTTCTCGCCCGGCGGAGGGACGAAGAGATTCAAAAACGCAAGGATCTCCAGAAACAACAACAGCCGCAGCAGCCGCACAGCCAACAATGAGAATTGTTAGAGAAATTAATCAAATTGGTATTTACTGCGTGAGAACTGCGCTTGACGATTTAGAACCGAAACCAATATACGTACATTATTCATATACTTTACTATAACGAAGCTTCCATATTTCTTATATGGATATATATATAATCGATTTCTTCCATATTAAAAATTGTGAGCTATGGTCACCGTTACTAGCAGATATAAGAAATAGACTAGTTATAATTTCTATGTCCGTCTGAAAAACTTTTGATGATATTACAGCTGCCCGTGTGTGGGAACCTAACACATGTGGAGCGAGGGGTGATGGAGTGACAGAAACACTGAAGTGTTGAACAAGCCTAAACTTTAATGTAATGCCTATACTACGTGTCTATTATTGTACATCAGTGCGTGTAAGTCATTAAGATGAGTTTTGTTTTGCTAAATTCGAGGAATATAAAAGCAAATATTTTATTATCACCATAATATTTTATTGTATCTTTATTTTGCCCGAGTAAAAACATCATCCATCAAAACATCCTACAGCCACACTTCCATCGAAACATACGTGAAATCATTTACGTACATCACACCGATAGGTGGTCACCAATAATTACTCTGTCACGACGTAGTGGAATATTCACCAGCGCTATACCGTACAGCAACAATTATAAAACTTACGAATTACACGATAAACACAACACGTGTGCCAAATTCCTACTCTTCCAAGTCAAATAGCAGAACCTGGTTGTTTAGACTCAACCTGATAGCTTTAGACATGATAAATACTCCGTCACAATCTATAAAGCCCTAACCTACCTACCTGTATTATAATCTTAATTTAGTCTAACTACTAATGAAAGTGTCAATGACACTATAGCTCACCTTGGGTGTAATAGAAGAGGGAGATGATATTTAAAATTTGGTAAGTGTTTCATTTATGACTGACCGAAATGTGATCAAATGTCTTTACTCCCCATTTTATACTAATAGAAATTTCACTGTTTTGTTTCAGGGTTAGTTCTGATGCGAAAATAAATGTTTCAGATCTGAAAGTCTGAAATCTGGGCGAGAGATGGCGCTACGGCTAAATGATCGCCATTTTGGTTTTCGATTATCGCGCAAATAAAAGCAATAAACTATTCCAGTCAAATTACTGTAACAAAGAATCTAAAACACAATATTACACGTAGGTATTATTAGGTAGGTAAGTAGGTAGGTAGGTAGGTAAATTTAACAAAATCGAGTGAATCTAGATGGCCATTTCCATTTTTGCAAAAAAAGTGGGCGTGGCTCAAAAGTAGGTCGACTGGCGTGCTCCAAAATAGGACGTTCAAATCTCTCCCATAGGTGTTACAACTGTATGCAATTTGAAACATGTGGGTCAAACGGTTCTTGAGTTATCGTTGACCCGTAAGCAGACACTGAAATTCATAGTGAAATTGCCAAAATCTACCTAATTTGCATAATTTTAAAAAAATATTAAAACCCCTGTGATATGTTTTGGGGCCAGTCATTATTCATTCACATACAAAAAATGAGTAAAATCCGTTGAACCTGAACTGACTTATGGCCATTTCCATTTTTGCCAAAAAGTGGGCGTGGCTCGAAAGTAGGTCGACTGGCGTGCTCCAAAATAGGACGTTCAAATCCCTCCCATAGGAGTAACAACTATATGCAATTTGAAACATGTGGGTCAAACAGTTCTTGAGTTATCGGTGACCGTAGCCAAATGTTGACAGATGGACGGACGTATGACGAACGACACCCCATGGCAATAGCTCATCTTGACGATGTCAATGTGAGCTAAAAACTATTATACAAGGCATATGGATGTTGTGTTTACAGTTTGTACCTTCTCAGAACTCACAACACCCATGTAGTTCATATAATCACGAGGTAGATTATATATATAAATGAGTCATGTTATATAAGTGCGTGCGTGCGTGCGTGCGTGCGGGCGGCAGATGATCAGTGTTGTGCGTGTATTTCCATGCAGACTCATCGCGTATAGATTTCATGAATAACGTTCACGGATATATCGGTAACTAGAGACGCTGATAGGCAATCAGGCGATGCAGATGATGGCCGCTGTCCTACAATCAGCAGCACCGACTCCGTCACTCCGTCAAAGAGTCGCGCTGACGGCAGCGCTACACTTCAAGCCCCTCATCTAGTGCGTATCAGCATCCATTGCGTACTACCGGCCCGTAAAGCCTGCCATTGAATCTACTACGGGAAGACTGCTATAAAATCCGCGTCATTATAGATGGGAAAGACTTTCTGTACTAGAGTACGCGTTTTTTACCCGGTTTGCGTCCTCTAGTTTTTCTACTGGTTGTCATCTAGTGTTGCGATGCACAGATCAGCCGATATGGTGGCCTGAATTGTCATTAAATTCGCCATCTTTCTTCACTATGTAGACATGATCATCACTAACACTAGGGGTTTTACTCCGGTAGCCCGAGACACGATGTTTGAGGTAGCGATAGCCATCTGAAACACCACCCAACACACCCATTAAGTTCTCGCACACATATCTTCGCTATTACACATACGTCAGCGATCCATGTGTGTGGAGGTTGTATACGTCACGTGAACGAGCGAGCGATGCGGTGTCAGAGCCATCGCGAGTCCCGTAGCGTGGAGGGAGCAGGTGACATCACGGGAGTTCGTCATTCCCGCCGTCTGTTTACGGCCGTAAGACGGCAGGCTAATCGGACTGACCGATGGTCAATTGACGGACTTATTTGGAACAATTATCCGTTCTCGCGCGCGGACGAGTGATTTTACGCCCCTGCCCGCCGGGGAGACCCGAGCGACCAGCTGATTGCATTTATTCGCGAATTTGAGCACAATTTGCCCGAATTATTACAATTAGTCAGATTTTGTTCCGATGGCGGGGGCAAACTGAACAATTACTGCGTGGCAAACTTCGTTAACTCTTCAAGTGATCGGACCAACGTTAGCCGCTTATTTAATCACCTAGCCCGCGAATACGACAGCGAGGCGCCGTAGCAGCATGCGGTGATGATGCACAGACACACATCACGCACGCACACGCACGCCCGAACGCACGCACGATCACACGCACGCACGCACACGTACGCACGCACGCACGCACGCACACGCACGCACGCACACGCACACACATGCACACGCACGCACACACACGCACACGCACACACGCACACGCACACGCACACGCACGCACACACACGCACACACACGCACACACGCACGCACGCACGCACGAACACACGCACGCACGCACGCACACATACGAACAATACAAACATATGCATGCTCACACACACACCACACATACACACGCACACACACACACGAACACACACACACGCAGCACAAACACCACACATACTCTACACACACACACACACACACACACACACACACACACACACACACACAATTCTCCC